TGAGTTCAGATCTATGCTTCTGCCGGAAAAGAGAAATCCGGGCAGGATGGTTTGATCATTTTATACATGCCATCAAATTTAGTCCTTCATTTACTAAAATTTATATGCAACTAAATCTTATATATATATATATATATATGTAGTTATATACAGCCTTAGATAATTAAAAAAAAAACACTCTGCACTATTGTAATTTTTTCTATTTTAAGTCCTTAAACGTTTTTTTTGGTTCTGTTTAAACCCTTTATATATCTTAACTTTTATATACATATATGTGTGTGTGTGTGTGTATATATATATATAACATACATGCATTTTAATTTCTTGTTTTCTGAATATGGCTGTTGGGTGTGCCTGGGTATCCTTCCTAAAATTCATTTAAACTTTTGGAGAAATTAAAAGTTTCATAATTTGTTTGGAAATTCATACCTACTTTGTACTGAATTTTAAGAAGGTTCGAGCATCAATTTTATCGAATTTGAACTAAAATAGAATACGAATTGAATAAAGATTTAAATAATCATATGAATGTTTGTCCCTACTTTGATTCTCGTATTGGGGATCATAACAGGTGTACTAGTAATCGTGTGGTTAGAAAAAAAAATATCTCCAGAGATACAACAACGTATTTGACCTGAATACGCCGGTCCTTTGAGAATTCTTTAAACTCTAACAGATGGGATAAAACGACTTTTCGAAAAGAATGTTCTTCTATCTAGAAAAAATACTCGTTTATTCAGTATTGAACCGTTTATAACAGTTATATCAATTTTACTAAATTATTCAGTAATTTTTATTGACATTCACTTTGCTTTTAGATAAATAAGAATATAATTTCATCATTATAAAATTAAAGATACAAATAAAATTAGTTCTTAAATATATAAATTTTATAATGGAGTTCTTAAAAGAAATTATTGATTTATTTCAAACATAAAAATATAGAGCATAAAAATAATATTGTATGAACTTTCTTGATTATATAGAATTATTCACTAGGCATATTACTCAAAAACCCATCACCTAGATCCTCATAAAACTCAGAATCTCCACTTCATCTCCTATCCCCAAACACTAAATTTCATAAGAACAACATGAAAGCTATATATATATATATGTGTGTGTGTGTGTATATATACACACAGAAAGGAGTGGATTGCATATAATTTACTAAATGAAAGACTAAATTTGATAGCATGTTCTGATCTCATAACTTCTCTTCTTCTTCTCCCTCAACTTCTTCTGGATCTACCAGTCCCTCCTTTTCAGAAACTCTTCTTTGAATGATGTTGAACAACAGGCAGAAGAAAAGAGGAAATTCAAACAAGTGCAGAGATAAAGATGAAAACTTTAATCAAAATACTAATAATTTAATCTCATTTGCTGAATACCCAGAAGAGAAAGTTAAATATTCCCCCTCCTCCACAGCACTTTCTGCTCTTTGTTCTTCACATAAACCCTCATTTTAGGTTTAAAAGGATTGTTTAATTAGTAGAAGAAGTTATTAAGCAGCCGCCAAATTTTGTAACTGTTGAAAATTGAAAGAGTCAATTATGGTTCTTTTAATCCTAATAATTAGGAGGTTTAATCATATCTCTAACTCCCCCCCCCCCCCCCCCCCCCCCTTTCGCGTTACCTTCTCTTCTTTTATCGGCCCCTCCACTCTCTCCTTCTCCCTCTCCCTCTCTCTCGGGGCCTCTCTGGGAATAAAAAACATACTTTTAGATATCAACTACGGTCCTTTAATGAAAAGGGCTACTTCCCTTCAGCTACGGCGAAGACACCAGGGCTCCCCCTTTCTCAAACTATCAAATCTCCATGTCTTACATACTACAATTTCTTCATCTTCATCTTGGCTTTTTTCCAATTTTACAGGTTTTAGTTTCCCCATTTAAAGCTTCTGTTATTTCTTTTCTCATTACATCACTACTCAACTGCTAATTCATTACTAATTATTAACCTGCATTTAATACTAACTTAAACTGCCAATATTTATTCTTTTGCTTGGCATTCTAACCATGCATGCTATGATGGTTCATTTCCTCAGGTTATATATATAATTCTGTGTATTAATCTCCATGGCTTTGAGTTACTGCACTACTTGCTGGGATTCTCATCAGCTTCTCAACTCAGACATGACCACTGCCATGACCAGCTTCCAGCAGTTTCCATTTCAAGACTTTCAGCTTCCACCAGATGATCTTCTTGCTTCTGAATACACTCATTCATCACCTTCTCGTCTGGGTTCTTGTAATTTCATTGACCCATTTCTACCAGATGACCCTTTTCATTACTCACACCAGTCCTCCTTCCCACCTGAAATTTTGGAACTTGACTGCTCCTTTCAATACCCAAAGCGCCAGAGGACCATCCACACAAATTACTACCAGCCTCATATTGAGCAGCCAAGTGATTTGTTTAATGGGTATGTGCCAAATCCCAGTTCAGTACCACTCCCAGAATTTTACTCCCTGCATGAAATTCAACCTCCTCCACCATTGATGGAGCTTCAGGTTCCTGCACTACCTTCTGTTTTTGATACTGGGAAAGTGGTTAGTGATGAAGATGACGACCAGAACGTGAGGAAAGCAGGTAATGGAGTGAGTTTGTCTGCGCAGAGCATAGCTGCTCGTGAGAGAAGAAGGAAGATAACTGAGAAGACACAGAAGCTTGCTAAGCTGATTCCTGGTGGTCACAAGATGAACACTGCTGAGATGTTTCAAGCTGCTTCCAAGTATGTAAAATACTTGCAGGCCCAAGTTGGTGTTCTTCAACTCCTGTCTTCACTTCCTCAGGTAATGATTGTATAAGCTCAGGATATATAAATATATAAATAATTATTGATGATGGTGATGATGATGACGCAGGAGGAATTAAAGCCTGGAAAAGAGCTTCAAGTTCTGCTTTCATCTCCAACAATTCATGAGAAATTGTACTGGAAAGAAAAGTGTATGGTTCCAGGAAAACTTGTCGAAGCCTTAGCGGATGATCATCAAATCCGAACAATGCATACCATCAATGACGAAATCGATAAGTTGTTGCAAAATCCAACTTGCAGTAGCCATGATTAACCTTGGAGCTTTTTCTTCTCTGAAAAAAAAGTTTTGTTTTTTATTAGGAGATAGATCTCTGTTAGTATCCTTTAACATGTTATAGGAGCTAACCACTTGTTAGTCTTGTTGTTTTAAAGAGCTAATCTAACCATTAATTCTCATTCAGTTTCTTTCTTGCTTCTCTCTTGGAAATTATATATATATGTGTGTATATACATAATATGTGCATTTTTCCAAATTAAACCTGCGATTATTTTATCCAGAGAAAAAAGGAAAAAAATACAGAGAATCCGTGAATCATTCATGAATAAAATACCCATAAGTAGCCAAGAAAATATTGCATCATAAAAATTTTCTCGAGAACCAAACAGAGGACGCGATGGTACTACTTACTTCCCAGTAGGCAACGTCCAAGCCACCAACCTCCATCGAGCTTGATAAACGTCCCCCGGTCTCTCGGTTCTCAACCCTTTGAAAGAAAGTGGTGACCCAAAATAGATATGCTTAAGCCCGTTTGGACTTTGGAGGGAAATGAACAGCCTCCAACTGGGCTGGATTCATAAAGCAAACATCTTTTAGATACCCATCATCGCCAGTCGGTTTTCGTATCAAAATGGTGTCGATTCCATGAGAAAGTAAGGAAAGTAAACACAGTTTTTCTTCTTTTCAAGATTACTCGCCCCCCGAGTTTACAAGATGGAATGGAAAACAGTCACGAACCTCTCAAGTCTCCTGCAGGATAGTCTAGAGAAGAAAGCCCCAATAGCAGAGCAGGAAAAATACTCCGTGCTGATATTATCCATTTTCGACTCTTCCAGGACACTTCTCTTTGCAATCGCCTTATAGCCTTCTGTGAGGAAGTCGGTGACATCAACTATGCTTACCAGGTGTTTGATAAAATGCCTAGCAAGAATACCATTTCTTCCAACAGTGCGATCAGCTCGTTACTACAAAGAGGGTACGAGGAAAAAGCATTGAACGTTTTTAAAATGATGATTTGGTAGGGAATTTCGACCACATATTTCACTTTTACCGGCATTTTTTTAGTCTTCGGGAACAGTTGTCGGACATTGAGGAGGCATTTCGAGTTCTTTTTGAACATGCCTCATAATTGGTGGGCTAGCGAAGACGGGTTGGTTCTTGGTAACACTCAAGATGTTTAAATTGATGCCTATGGAAGGGATTAGAATTCATTTGTAAAGTCTTTTAAGTGTTTGGGATAAGAGAAGTGGAGAATTCAAGTTTATGAAGATCCTAGTGATGAGTTTTCTGAGTAATATGTGTCTAATGAATTATTCTATGTATCTAAGAATGTTAATGCAATTTCATTTTCGTACTTTATATTGGTCTTCATATATATGTAATAAATTCACGTTTTAGACCACTTATCTTGATATTAAAATGCAATATAGTTCTTCGCAATTCGAAATTATAGTCATATGCTTTGTTGACTTCTTTTAAAAAGAGTTTCTCTTCCTAACAAGTCTTCCTATTTGCTAGAAAATCTTCATACTATAATTTATACTTTAAGCAACATCTCTATTAAAACTTTAACTTTTTACGTGTAATTTTTGGAGAAATTGAAGCATCATGTTCTTTTTTACTTGACAATTCATGGATCATAGAAAATGAATTTCGCACGATAAACTTAAGCTTACTTGATGATCCTTCTTCAGAATTAACTCTTTTTCCCTTCGATGATGGAGAGGAGATGGAAGGTAATCATGAGTTGAATAACTCATGAGTTACAAAAATACGAATTCTACATACTGAATTTAATATGATGATTTGTATTTGGAGTTGACTTTTTCACTCTAGCAAAGAGAGGTAAGGAAGGAAAAATGATATACGACCATCTAAATTATTTTGGAAGAAGCAATTTTGTAAAAATAATAATTTCGTAAAGTGATTAATACAATACTTACTAGTATAATATTAATATATCTTATTATTTTACTGATTATATATATATATATATCATTGTTATGTTATTATTTTATTCAAGATCGTTGTCATATGAACTATATAGTTATCTTAGAAACATGTCAGTGATTCATCATTGTTAAATAAGTTACGTACGAGTGAAATTCATTGATATTTTCTCATTAAATTGTCTACCAATTTTATAGTTATATATGTGATAACTCTGTAATTATCACCAATTCATAAGATCAAAAATTATATTTTCTTTTTCATTTTTGTACTTTGTTTTATTTTACTGTATCATAAATCAAGATCACAAACATGTCGTTACAATATATAACTCTATGCTAACTCTATCGAAAAAGAAAGAAAGAAAGAAAGAAAGAAAGAAAAAAAAAAGAATGGTTTAAACAAATATATAAAAATACTCTCGGCATTATGAACTCTTCTGTTTCGATTCCACGTATTCTCATTATATTGCTCATATAGTTTATACTACTTGAAGTTTTTTAATAAGGATATATATCTCATAAAAGTAACAGAATACGATACTTTTTTGTGAATTAGATAATCTCACGTATTATTAAATATTTGATTATAAGTTGTAGCTCAAACCATCCAAACGAGTGTACGTTTAAGTAGGTCTCACGCATACGCGCCCCAAAAAAAAACACGATGCAATTCTTTTTCCCCTTAAGACTATTTATTTTTTAAGTCGTGAATTTTTAATAAAATAAATTATTTTAAATTGAAAATCACATAAATATAAATTGAGACCAAAAATTTGAATGACATTTATATGGTGAATGTATAATAAATATTTTGAATATAGAGATATATAATATGATTGTGTAAAACCTGTTTGGCCCATGGTTTTTGGTTGTCCCCCCAACTCTCATATTTTTGGATTTGCTGAACCCTCAGCACAATGTATTCCTTTTCCAGTGGCTGGTTTCAGGTTCTCTAATTGAGCATAATAAATATATGAATTTAATTACAAAATTAAATATAATATATATATATATATATATACATAGATATATGTATACATACACCCTGCCCTCTGTTTCTTGTTTCCTTCTTAAAATTTGAAACGCAGGCAAGCAAACATCACTTTTCTCTGTCACGAAACTTCAATCCCAAGAAAATCAATGCATCATATTGGGAAAACTCAAACTTCTCCTCTATATAAACCCATCAACTCACACCCAATCCCACACACCAACCCACCAAGATCCTTCAACTCCTACACACATATACATATAAACACACACCCCTCCCTGATTCAACTCGTCAGCCATGAAGAACGACATCTTCTTCTCCACCATCTTCCTTCTCTCCCTACTCTTCCTCTCTGCCACCATGAACGAGGCAGCTGTCCCATGCAGCACTGTGGACATGAGAGCAGCGGCCTGCGTAGGGTTTGCCACAGGCAAGGACGCAAAGCCAACTCCTACATGCTGCTCTGGGCTGCAGCAGCTCGCTCAGACAGTCAAGACTGTGGATGATAAGAAGGCGATTTGCCGCTGCTTGAAGGCCGGAGCCAAGTCTCTCGGCGTTCAAGATAAGTTCTTGAGCCAGATTCCACAGGCTTGCAACATCAAAGTTGGCTTCCCGGTTTCTATCTCCACCAACTGTGACACGTGAGCTCTCACCTTGGTTACACCTACATTTTCTTTTATATACATATACATTACAGTTTATGATAAGACTCATGCATGCATGCATGCCAGGAATTATAAACATGGAAATGCTTTGTGCTGGTAAGAATATAATTGATTTGTGATATGGGTTTTGCAGGATTCACTAAATTCCTATGCTGGAACAAGAATATGGATGGAGGAGCTAGCATTAAGAGCATGATGAGTGAGGGAGTGAGAGACAGAGAGTACTTAGCTTGATGTGAATAAAATTGTTCTTGAAGCAAGTTTAATCATGTGGTTCTTGTACCCTTAATGCTTTTTATCCTTAATATATAATAAGTTTAATCATTAAATTAAAGTGATACAGCTTAATTTAACTGTTCATATGTCAATTCTCTACAAAAAGTAATAATTTTTATGTGTTATCATACGAACTTTTTATATATTGTGTTGTTATTAGTATATATATATATCATTTAATATTAAAAAACATCTTATAATATATGTTTCTCATATTCTGTATATATTTAATTTTCTGTATTTATTTAAATTAAATTTTTCTGATTGAAAAATACGACTTGATAACCTCATACATAAGTAGTCAAATTTGTGTATATTCTCCTAAATATATATATATATTCCTCGTTTCTCAATAAAGCATATACAGAAAAACTTCCAACCAATCCTCGGTAATTTTCTCAACTTGTTTATCATTTTAGATCTAATTTATAAACGTACATCTTATATTAAAAATTTGACAATATTTTGATTATAATTAAATTCAATTTTTATTTAATGTGATCTACCCAACACATCCTTATTTCTTATTTAAATCAAACAAAAAAAACATATATATTTAATAATAACGAGTTGTATTTCGATAATTTTCCGAAAAAATAGGAGTAACTTGAGCCTGTAATGATAATTGAGCAGGTAAAAAACCTTCAAAGAAATCAAACTCAAAGAGAAAAATGATTATGGGATAAGAACTACAATCTTTTTCTGCATCAACAATGTCTGGGAGGTTTCTTTTTTATGGTTAGTACAGTAAGAACTTTTAAGTTTCTCATTTGTCATTCTGATCTAAAAAAGAAAAACCCTCACAAAAAACTGCAACTGTTTGAATTGTTTTTGACTAAAATAAACAAGATCATTTATAGGGATCTGATAAAAATAGTAAATTTATCCACTATAAAAGAAGAGGGTAAACTGGATTAAACATATCAATTGAGTTTCAAAGAATTGATTACACAAATCCAGTATGGGTAAAATTATTGAGTTTATGGTGTACGCTTCTCTGGGTTATAGCTTGTTTTGTTTAACATGCATTGTTGCAGAAGATTTTACAATGTCTGATAAACTCAATGATGCTACGCCCGAGCCTCCTCTTTTCACTTATGTGTGTGATCCAGCACATTTGAGTGCTGTAAAATTAGACGGTTCCACCCTTGGTTTCTGCGACACATCCCTTCCCTATAGCGTGAGGGTAGAGGATTTGGTAGATCGATTATCGGTGGAAGAGAAGGTATTGCTACTTGGGAGTACGTCCCCCGGGGTGCCAAGGTTAGGATTGCCAAAGTACGAGTGGTGGAATGAGGCATTGCATGGTGTCTCATCCGTCGGAGGTGGCTCCCGTTTCGACGCAGTGGTTCCTGGTGCAACAAGTTTTCCTACAGTTATCCTTTCGACTGCTTCGTTTAATGAGGACCTATGGAAAAGAATCGGCCAGGTACTAATGTTAAAGAGATATAATTTCGCATTGCCCAATTATGAAAATCTCTAATAGTTTATGTACCATTTGAATAATGGTTGGTAAGTTTATTTATGTTGCATCGTGATTAAAATATGTGTATCGCTTGATTTACGAGAATGTATGTGACAGGTTATTTCAAATGAAGCAAGAGCAATGTACAACCTAGGTCGAGCCGGATTAACATTTTGGAGTCCAGTGATCAACGTAGTTCGCGATCCAAGATGGGGAAGAATTCAAGAGACGCCCGGGGAAGATCCTTTTGTGGTGGGCCGATATGCAGCAAACTTTGTTAGAGGCTTACAGGACGTTAGAGGAACTGAACACGTCCATGACTTGAATGCAAGACCACTCAAGGTTTCTGCATGTTGTAAGCATTACGCTGCATACGATGTAGACAACTGGAAAGGAATCGATCGTCTTCATTTCGATGCCAGGGTGACCGAGCAAGATATGGTGGAGACTTTTCTCAAGCCTTTTGAAATGTGTGTTAAAGAAGGTGATGTCAGTAGCATTATGTGTTCCTACAATCGTGTCAATGGCATACCCACATGCGCCGACCCAAAACTCTTGAACCAGACTGTCAGAGGAGATTGGGGTCTTCACGGGTACTTCACTACTAATCACATGCAATGTCTTAAGAGCATTTTATAATATTACTATTCATTTTTTTGTTACTGACATATATGTATGAACTACCAGATACTTAGTATCAGATTGTGACTCCATCGAAGTAATGGTAAACAAGCATCAATTTATCAATGACACGAATGAGGATGCTGTTGCTCAAACCCTAAAAGCAGGCAAGTAATCGCTTTAATTAACTTGTAAGAATCAGTCTTGTATTTTTTCTAGTTGCATGGGAGACAGACTTTTGATTGATTGAGTAATATTACAGGGTTGGATTTGGACTGTGGCGACTTCTACCCAAAGTTTACAATGAGCTCGATTAGACAAGGAAAGGTGAGCGTAGAAGATGTAGATAAGGCGTTGAGAAATCTTTACATGTTGATGATGCGACTTGGGTATTTTGATGGAAGTCCTCAATTCAAAAATCTTGGCAAAAAGGACATTTGCTCTGCTTCAAACATTGAGTTAGCTGCAGAAGCAGCTAGACAGGGAATTGTTCTTTTGAAGAATGATAATGGAACTTTACCTTTCAATCGCGATACAATCACAAACTTAGCCGTAGTCGGCCCCCATGCCAAAGTTACCGATGTCATGATTGGAAATTACGCAGGTACATAAATATATATATATATATTCATCAACCCATATGTATAAACTATTTTACAACATTGCACATACATATTATTGCACAAACTTACGGGCGCTGCGAAAAATCATGAATATTGATAGGTGATCCGTGTCGATATGTTACCCCTGTCGATGGCTTCTCTATATATACAAAAGTACAAACTCAGCAAGGATGTGAAGACGTACTTTGCAATAATGATAAACTTATAGGTGCTGCTGTTGATGCTGCAAAGGTTGCCGATGCTACTGTGATCATGGTGGGACTAAATCTCAAGGTCGAAGCTGAAAGCTTGGATAGACTAAATCTCTTCTTACCAGGTTTCCAAACTCAACTCATTAATCAGGTTGCAGATGCTGCCAAAGGTCCAGTTGTTCTTATCATAATGTCAGCCGGTGGAATAGATATCACTTTTGCAAAGAACAATCCCAAAATCAAAGCTATTATATGGGCTGGATACCCTGGACAAGAAGGCGGTCAAGCGATTGCTGATGTCGTTTTTGGGACATATAATCCTGGTATGTAGCTAATTATTCTTTCATCAACCAACCGCTACTTACGTGTATATACATAAAGGGTACTAATTGATTATAAAATTACTAATCATCAGGAGGAAGATTGCCAATCACTTGGTACGAAGGCAGCTACGTGGAGAAGTTACCAATGACATCTATGCAGTTGAGACCAGTAGACAATTTAGCTTATCCTGGTAGAACTTATAAATTCTACAATGGAACCACAGTGTATCCCTTCGGCTACGGCCTTAGTTACAGTCAATTTACCTACACAATTCAACCCCTTAATCCTGCATCACTCAACATAAAACTCAACAAACTCCAACATTGTCATGACATCGACTACAAACCAGGTGCCCAGAAGCCTACGTGCCCATCTCTTAAGATCGAAGATGGTCTTGCATGCGACGCTTACTACACCATTAACACACACATTCAAATCAAAAATACAGGAACAAGAGACGGTGATCAAGTAGTGATTGTTTACTCTAAGGCGCCCGAAGGGATTCTTGGAGCACCCATCAAACAGGTGATTGGTTTCAAGAGAGTTGGTATTCGTGCAGGACATACCGCAGTGCTTCCATTTCAGTTTAATGCGTGCAAAGCTCTGAGCATTGTGGATTACCAAGCGCACACTGTGTTGCCGGCTGGTCAACATTCAATCATTGTTGGAGATGGAGTAGCTTCCTTCACTTACGATGTTAATTTTACTTGAACTCATAGACAAAATAAATGGAGAAAGAGATCAAGATGTCAAATTCCCAATTGAAATATTCTTTGTTTCATTGTATGTTCTTGCCATGCATACCCTATTAGTTTATTTAATGAAATCAAATTTATTTCAAAATAATAGAGAGAGATGCATGTCTCCGTTATTCCGAGATAAACTTTGTCGATTACGTTGTAATATAGATCTCGATTACTCATGTATATAATTCGTAAATTTTAATTTATTAATCATTTATTATGGATAAACAATAATTTATATTAACTTTTGATAAATACCAACGAATTAAAAAAAAAACATTTTCCTATTACTGTGAAACCCGATTTTATAACTTATTTGATATTTTCTATTAACAAAATCTGATATAAACATATGTACGTTAAAAATACAAAATTGAATACAGACAATAGTATAATCACTCCTTGTGTTCTTATAATTGTAGGCTTAAGAAATTAGTTTTGTGGGAATTACAAAGGAGATTTTCAAACTCTTCTTTTTCGTCTCCTTCATCGAATTTTCTCCCTAGCCAAACATAAGCTCTATATATATATATATGTGTGTGTATGCGTGTGATTCAGTATTATTTTTCTTATTAATATGATTCATTTTAATATATTTAATTATTCTCGTTATTTTTTTTTTGTCATTCTACGAACAATTCTAATACAAAAGTAGATTATCTCGATTGAGATACCCAATTAACTGCCACTTTTAAATTATTCAAGTTTAGACGAAAAAATAAAATAATACGGAATTTATAAGGTATTTTAAGTCTAAATAAAATATAAGAATTTATTATTCTATTGATGTAATGATTTAATAGTAACCTCGTTTACAATATTAAATTAATTTGATAACATCGCACACGTTCTCAATATTATATATTTAATCATTCACTTATATAATACTTTATATACCTTATGTTAAAATTTTTTGTTGAGAATTTGGATTAGTAGAAGACTTAGATAGTTAAATATGATATTTTTATTTTTAATTGCAAAAAGAGACATTATAATTATCTTAATTTTGGAACAAATTAATTTGGGTAGTATATATATATATATATATATATATATAGTAATCTAATTTTGAATGTATACAATATTTTGAATATTGTAGTATATTTTTCACTCAAAATATTTCAAAATTTGTATAATATGCTCTTGGTGAAAATCGGGAGAACTTCGAGGGACGAAGCTAATGATTTTTAGACTTGAAGTTTTAATTTTATTTTGCTCATTTTTATCTTATTCTTATCTTTGTATTTCTTATCTCATTTCCCGAGATCCAATATATAAATATTAATTATTGAGATGTTACAATCATATACTTATAAATTAGATTCATAAAATATGCATGCATATTATATTAAACTAATTATCTTATACTACGGAGTAGGTATCTCACACTTTTTTGTTCGATATAATTTAACCATGAACTTTTAATAAAAAAATTAATATAATAATTAACGTATAGTCATGCTTTCAGTAGGTTCAATAATAATTTCTTAATTTTTAAAATTTCAAAAGAATTTAAAATTCAAATTTTTTTTATTAAAATTTTGTCTCGTAATACCATTACGACGTACTCATATCTCTATTGTTTTGAAATTATGGCAAGAGTTTGTGAAGCATCAATGCTCGTATCCTTCTGTGCTGTGTACTAATTGAATTAATTATATTTTACGAAAATTAAAAACGAGACACTATTTGAA